TCGTAGCACGTAGCACGACTTCATCGATGATACGTTTTGTAAAGAGGTTTCCCTCGTTTTTGCTATGACCAACATGTCCGCCATGACATACGTTTGCGCGGGAAAATAGGTAAAAAATTAACGGAAATTCTGTGCCACGACAGATTGTCCTAGACACGTTGCACTTACGTCCTCTACAACGTTAATACGTCGTAAATTTTCGTTACGTTCCTCGTTAAAGGAACGAGCCTTTATTGCAAACGACGAATACGTACTGTTACTGTTAACTGTACCAGAGGACATAAAGCGTAACTAGATACACGGTGGTCCTACTCTACAATCTTTCACGGTGAACTCACCTCAGTGCGCGTTGTGTGGTCTTCATTTCTGGCTAGTTCTCCGCGAATTCCTCGAAGCGACCCTCAGCGATGATCCATCGATTCCCTTCGGCGTTTCAGGTACACAGCACCGGTACCAGGATTGAAAAAGAATGGGAAACACACAAGCACAGCCAAGCACACGCGAAAAGAAGAAGCACTGACTTCTTTCAACTGCGTTTAATTTCGACTTTTACGACCCCTATATATCGATTGACCTAACCACTTCACCGAATTACCGATAAATCTCGAGTAGACCCAACCTGTCATCGATCGGTAACACAGTTGCAATGGAAACGCGCAGTGAATATAGTAAAAACACAATGTTCCGACACTTTCAACGATTTCTCGAAATGTAACAATGGCGGGTCGATATCTTCCGCTGATCGCCGGTGCTCGTTTCCGGTTGCAAATTTGTCAAGTCAAGATCGTAGAATGATTATTGATTAGGATAAAAAGAAGTTAACTGTCGCAGCATACGGTCGACACTTCCATTGAGTACACCGTGGTAAGAGGCACGAATTAGATTAGTGGGACTCGCGACCGAGACGCTTGGAGGTTAGGTCGAGTCCGGAGAGAGGCACATAACCTCTCTTTCACCAACCTGGTAATCCTGGGGCACTGGTGTCTACAGCGAGCTCTTCTAGACCGTCGTAGTATCCAACTTTCTCGATCATTTTATTTTCGTGACATATACCGCGACCTCCCGTACGCTTCGGCACCGAATGGCATGGCAGCAGTCGTTTCACGCGAGCCCCCTCGCTTGCACGTGTTGCTGCTGTCGATATTTACTGAACACTAACCTTTTCGCACACAAGTATCGTCTCGGTTTCCGTCTGTAATGCCCTCCAAATGTTGACACTGATTGTATTGCCTGTCGCGTGCCCTAACGCGAGCATTACTTAGTGGGGTGAGGAGACGTCGTCCTTCTTCGTCCAAACACCAAATACTCTGTTGCCAGTGTTGTTTTTCTGCTTCCTTTCGTACACGCTGTGTAAAAGAAAAAATTTCTCTTCGTTCGTCCCTCTTTTGTAAATAACGCTCTCAGTTCGCAATAACCTTACACATACTACGAGTTATTTTCTTTCGTAAACTTCATGTCTGGAATCTTCGACTACCACGTTCGGTACAAAAGCGTGCCACTTAACAAATGACCGATGTGTGTCTCTCTGACTGGCAGGACTGGTTTATGCAATAAACACGCAGCGGGTCGCGTCCACGCGAAATCAGTTCTCTCACTGTACCGATACGTAATGGCAAACGTCGAAGGAAAATCGACAACCGTCGTCCGTATATACGATAACACACAAAGAGAGACGTTCACGGTTCGAAAAGTCGAAAAACTCGGGATCACGCGGCAGGTGCAAAAGGTGCCGGTTTACACGAGAAGCGAGCGGCAACCTCCACTCTTCGCCAGGTCCCAACCAAGAGGTCCACCGTACGAGGACTGGTTTCACGAGACTCCCCGTGCTCGACCGGCCAGACTACTTCGGACACGATAAAAGGAGAGGGAAACACACAGAAAGAGAGTGTTCGGCGGAGCGACGGTGATGGTGGGAGGGTGCAGGGAGCGTGTGGAGAGCGGACTCGTGGAGTGTGGGTCCCGTTCTTCGGAGAGAGGCTTATTCCAGCGAGCGCGAGGAAGTACTGTTACTTAGACAGAGCCTTCAGGGCCCACAACGTGCTGCAAAACGCAATGCAGACCAGGACGCGGTGCATATAATCCCGGCGGCCGTATGCTAGTAAAAAAAAGTCCGCTATGACGCGCTACGCGATTTTCCTGATATTCTCTTTTTCACGAACGTAACAAAAGCGAGATGTGTACCAAAGTCCTTGTGTCGCCAGTTGAAAATCGATTCGCTCGTATCTTTTCCTTTTCGACAGGCCGTTCAAGGATGCATTCGAGAAACGTTTTAAACTTGATTTTTTCCTACCGAGTTGAAGTCACACCATTGACGTATCCGATACTATCAATGTTTCGATACCAAATCGACTTTGTCTCCACGGTGTGTAGATCGATAGCAGTAATCGAACGATTCCAGTGTCTGCGATCGTTAGATGCACCGTGAGTGATTTGAATGTTGGTTATTTCGATACTCGTAGAATAAAGAGACGTGTTTTACAACAAACGGAACTTTCACGGGTCACGCGAAGCTAGGATGCACATTGCGTATGATATATCGTAGAGAATATGTACGCGTGCGTGGACACGCACCAACGAATCGCGTGTCCTCGTCCACCTTCTGTTTACTCCTATACACGCGAAATATCCGCAAGACAGCGATCTAATCTCACGCGGCCAGCTGTCACACCAGAACCCTGCACGTTCCAAGAAAAATTCATGTCGAACACAGTGCGTTGTTTTTAAATCCTTCTCCCCCTTTCTTTCTTTCGTCAATGTAGATGGTAAATTATAAAATGTATGCTCACCGCTCGGTAGTCGCGGCTCGACTGGACGATTGGCCGCCTCCGCGCTATTACCCGCCGTACTCACACCCGTATCAACCGAGCCGGCGCCCTCCCGTGTACTACTACCCAAGGTGCACCTATTGCCACGTACCTGCACGTGCTCGCGTGTAGCTGTTACAATCGGTCTTGTGTGTGTGTCATATGCAGCGCGTACATGTCGTCGGTGCGTACATACACTCGTATAGCCGGGTGTAACCGGTTTCACCGATTTTTTCCCGAAAAGAACTCGCGACGGTTTGTAAAATTGTTTGCCCTTTGTCTTTTCTTGGTATGCACGTAAACTCCTAGAAACCATATTTTAACACTTTTCCGAGAAAATCGCGATTGCACGAACGTCGTTGCAATATTAAAACACGAAATTATTCTCGCTAACAAATACGATCAAATGTTTGGATAAATTTCTGACGTTTCGGTAATAAATTGGAAAACATGTACGATTTAGTAGGAAGTGTAGCAGAGTCTAGAAACTATTATCGAATAGTAGACCACTCTCTAAAGAAAAGCTACCTGTTGTTTAATACGCGCTGCATAACAGGAATGAATTTTTCAAAATTCCAAACGCATAATCGTCATGCACTGGATAATGTAAGGTGACACCAAGGCAGTCCAGTACAGAATCAAGATACATACATACGTCACCGCCCAGCATCACTGTGATCAAGCTCAATTAAACGCACATAGTTTCCTGTCTTCTGTTTTGTCAAATTTGGTTTTACTTAGAAAAAAAATTCTATTTTCTACGTATACACCGAAGCGTGGAAAACACTTTGCAAGAATTGCTCGTAGCTATTAAACTCTCCCATTTCACTTTCTTCGAGATATTTTTCTCATGGCGTTTCAATTAATCACAGCACGAATTGAATAGCTTTGTAGCGAGAATGTTAATTACACTGAATTATACGATTCACTGACTTGATTGAATCCAGACCTAACTTTCTCTACAGATGCTTTAATTATTCTTACGATTAATTTGACGTGCACGGTTCTAAATTTTGTTGGTGACATATTTTTGCTAACCTCTAAAAAATAGCCTATCTCTTTTTTATTCGAAAAGGTTAGAATAGGATAGATCATAAAATAATTTCATCTCGATTATATTGCTATTATGTTTTCGTTGAGAGCTCTAATAATTTATGATCCACATCTGCATGTAACGTCCATAAATAAAATGAAAGAGCCGAGGGAAAAAAGAGCTTGATCTCTGTTAATCCGATAAGATAGAATAATGAAATTGCATTTAAGCGCCATAAATCCCTGTCGAGCCCTACGCGTTGCATGATCCTTTGAAGGTGTAATATCAATGCGACGAAGCCTAGGGAGGCAATCTTTTGAATCGCTGCTTAATAAATTGAGTCATTAGGAGCACGAGGCAGCATACATAGCGAAAGTAATCCTTAACACTGAACAGGGACGACCGCCGTACGGCTTTTAACAACAAAACCAAAAGTCCAGCGTGTTTTTGCGCTGTGTAACATGATGTACGAGTATATGTATAGCATAAACGATACACTTCTTCTATAGACTCGACTCTACGGGGACTCCACAAACTTTTGATACTAGATTGTAACTTGTAAGACATCGTGGTTTACTTCCAATCCTTTACCTTTAACCACCAATTTGCATTTGATCGATCAGTAGCTTATTTTATCTGTAAAATTTGAATGGGAGGAATAATAGGTAATAATTGAACAATCTATTTTATACGGTTCAACAGTCGAAAAAACAGAACCCGCACACATCGATTACCTAAAGAAATGCAACCATAGAACGGACGAGATGGAAGGTGCTACCACCTGAAGGTTGCTCCATGCAACTAGTTAGTTGCAACCTTCTCGACGCAATACAAAAACGTATTACAAAAAAATATATGTATATACATATATATATTTACATAAATTTACGATTATGTTTCATATTACAAATTATCCATATAAAATATCTTATACAAAAGTAATTAGCAAAAGTTGGGAACATAATTAGAAAAATTTGTTTCAATTGCAATTTTAGAATTCTTTCACGACATATTCAAATGTAAATGCTGCGCAGAAGCGATAATTTGACGTTTTTGCAGCTCCAATTTTTGTTCTTTCAATTTTAAAACTTTCCTTTGAATTTCCAATTCACTCTGTCGCAGTGCCATTTTTTCTTTATGTCTTCTTTCTCTATTTTCCTCTGCAGTAGCAAAATGCTTGGTCATCTCGTCAAAAAACTTGTCAAAAAGTGCTGTCAGAGCTTCTTTCTGTTCCAGCATCTCGTTCTTGCTGTTTGAAGATAAGTTAGGTTTAGGTGCCGCAAGAGGGTCCTCCTGTTGCAGACCCTCGATAACGCTGTTCAGCTCCTCGGACGCAGGTTTCGGTAAAATAAACATATACTTGGCAGAACCAGGTGGTGGTGGAAAATCACATTCTTCCAGATACACGTGTTTCCTTTTTTCGTTAAAAATTTCATCCAGTGCCCTTTTGTGCTCCCATTGTCCGTAGTGCCTCATTCTACCAGGTTTTTTCAATCGTTCTCGAAACACCAGATTTTTGTACTTTCGGTCAAGAACTCGCCACTTGTTTTCGCACTTCTGTGGACTAAAGTAAAATCCGTATTTTTGCATCTCGAGGGAAATCATCTCGAACATCTCCCGTAAACTTCGAAGTTGCGTCGACTGTCCTACCATGGCATGATATTTCTTATACTGGTTAATGAGACAAGCGGTAGCCTTGCTAGTCCATAAATTCAAGGCACCGACATCGGCGGTCGATGGAATTGCGCTGTTATTTTCGAAACTGGAAAAACCATTTTCGTGTTCCTCTTCGACGTAACCCTGCAGCGTCGGTTCCACCTTGATTTCCATCTGTGCATCGAGGTTATCCCCTTTTTAAGAATACATTTACATGTCAAAGTGATTGAAACATGTTTTAGACGAAGAGACAGCAACAATATCGAATGCGGTGCAGTGCGGTATTTATATTTATTAGCAATGTAAAAAGTTGAAAGACGAGTCAAAGTATGTTAGGCTGTTTGAATTTCCCGCGTAAAATGGTTCGAGACTCGACAAGGCGCTGAAAGCGTGCTTACGCTTGTACTACTTTTGGAATGTACAATACGACCGCCAGATGTTTGAAGCAGTACTGAATTCACAATGAATACGACATAACCTTGTCTGAGAACTACTTTTCTTACCTTTCTGCTCTGTAATATCGGCCATATTAGCGTGATCTCGTAACGTAACCTCCGTTCCACTCTCTGAGAGAAGTCCGGCACGAGTGCCAATATCGGTCGTAGTACCGTCTTGCAGGGGGCCGAAAAACCAATGAAAACTAGTTCGAAACCGGTTTAGTACTGGAACTGGTTCCGTATACGTCGAGAATTGGCGGCCATATTACCTCCTACTTCATGCACACTAAATATACGTCTGGTCTTCCAGCCAATGGAACGCTTATATCATACGGGTTTCAAACCATTCGGAGATGAGTAAATAGGCGAAGTTTTACGTTAGAAATTTCCTTTTTATTTCAAAATTTCCAGCCAGAAGAAGGTGATTTTTGAAAAGGTTACATTTCGACAAAATCTTTCTTGCATAACGATTAACAAAACTGACTGCGCATCGAAGCATGATTTATGTGAATATCGAGGATAAAGAACCGTTGCACAACTGACGGACTACTTAATACGTAAAAGTTACAGAAAACCAAAAGAATTTATAACGAAGCTTTCGTATGAAAATAATTCTTAAAACCGCATTCCAGATTTTCTGATAACACGAATTCATTGCATTACTTGTTATATCATGCTAAACAGTTGCATAAGTTGCGTGCGTTCCATTTAATGATTTGTAGGCATTTCTATGATTCCACGAAACTTACGTTACATTATGAATCTTTCACATTATTAAAGTTTCTGCAACACCGAGTTTTTTCCTTCACTTTTCACAATATACATATACGTGATGCGTTTCGCGTCATAATTCATAATTAACTTGAATTTCCCATACAATTAAGACGCATACACTCGTGTACGTACGCGTACGTTTATAAAATCGTAATTATATTACAGTTTAACAACCTGAAACGTATGAAAAATGATATCCTCGCAAAATCGAACCTTTCGCCATTTTACTCGATAATTATCGACGGTCTGCTTTCGATATTATCGAACACCTCGGTCGATATAAATACATATGTACGTATATTCGAGAAGAAACTGACATCGATGGTAACATATTTACTCGATCCCAGAAAGGTATTGATCTCGATATAAAGGCTACTCGATAATTTACTTTCCTTATAAGAGAAGTGGAAAGGTGTAACGTTTGAGGCTACGTTTTAATCGATCGATTCTTTCGCAACGATCCTTCAGAATTTCACCCATCGATAAACGATCAACGTGTACCGTTTCGTAACGTAAAATTAATCAATCGAAGAGATAAGCAGGTTTGTTGAAGATTTCTCGTCGTAAACATGGAAGTTACCATGAATCTTCGCACGCTCTGATAGCAGTGCCGACACCGGAAGTGAACTATTTCGCGAAGCAACCAGGGCTATATAATCCCGCGCACATGAAACACCAGTCTACGGTGTAACGAGATAATAACACCTACACAAGAGTTTCGCGTAAAGCGCGCAAGGAACAAACATTCCGAGCGGGACTCGCGCGCGTCACGGAACAAGAGGAAACGAGCTGAGTGCTCGGGATTCCTCGTTTTAGGTCATCGTTCGTTCCGATTCTCAGATCCGTCCTGTTTTTCTCATACTCATTATTATCATTCACCGGATGCTCTTCCCCCTCGTTTTAAACGTGCTCAACACATGTCACGTTTTTTCACTAGCTTCCGTTTAACGATAAGGGGTACAAGGACAGAGTAAATTGTACTCCACATATAATTGAAAGGTTAGTACAAATATCACGATCGATAAAAATCGTTTGGTTGTAAAAAAATCAAACTACCCTACCGTAGGCGTAGCAACCCCACTCGTTTCGTATTTCCCGCCCTTTGGAGAGGCAGCTTCAAATACGTCCCTATAACCCCAAGTATGATTTCGACGGAATTTGATAGGAGCGGCGTATTGCTCGGTCGAGAATGTGACGTCACGGTGGTGGATCGAGCAGTTGTAAAAGAAAACCGGGCTAAAAGAAGAAGGGTGAAGGAGAGACGAGAGAGAAAGAGAGTGAGAGTAAGAGAGAGAGAGAGACAGAGACATCTGATGGTCTCTGGCGTACAGCGAGAGGGGGCTGGTGCATACAGGAGACGGGAGAGAGAGGCGAAATTCTCAGCAGGGGCATGAGTGGAGTGTGAGCGAACGAGCGAGGACGGCCGCGCTCGCCTTTCGTCGGCGTTTCGTGTGGGTGCGTGAGTGCGTGCGTGCGTGCTCACTCGGGGCAGGTACTTTCGATTTCCAGGGATTGGCGAGCCTTCGCCGGGTACGACGCTGCACCAGGAAGCGGACATGATTGTTACCATGGAGTGAAATAGTACGTGCACGGTACGACGGGTTCGTTGCTCACTCCTCTCGGTTTCTGTGCGTCGCGTACATGTGTGAATGCGTGCGCTTCTCTCTCACGAACAGGTGCCTTCGATTTCTTCCGATTATCTTCTCCCGTTAAACCGAACCGCGAGAAGTCGTTAACCACGTTTCGAATCCGGTCCACGAGAATATAACCGCCTATTTCATTCTCCGCGTACCATTCCACCGGTGACAAGTGTCGATCGACAAGGATATTCCGTAAAATTGAGCAAAAAATGATTTGAATAATTCAGAGAGAAACGAAACGTGTCTGCTGCTGTCAAACTCGTGTGTGCGCGCGCGACCGTGCATATGTGTCGGAGACATCGATTTTCCAACGGAGATTCGCAGCTGCTCGTGCCCCACTCGAGGCTGGAATAGTTCGTACGAGCAGCATGAAAGCCGAACGTGTTATCTAAACCGAAAAGGTGTACATATTTTGGATCGGGCGCGCGTTTGCGAACGCGCCCATCGCGCGTCCAACATGGCTACCGCCAGCAACACGACGACAAGCGCCGGCGAAACAAGCGGCAGCAACGTGCCACAGTGGAAAAGGGACTTGATACAACGTCGTAGACAACAGAGCAAGGTTCTAGCGAGTAACGGGGCCAGTGTGAAGTTATGCTCGGCGGTAATTGGCTCGACAACGGGTGGGCCGACAGAAACGGTGGACCCGGCCGGTAGCCAAGAGCAATGTGTAACCGGCAACGTGACGTCGTCAAGAACGCGGCGGACAAGTAGCAGCGGTGAGGACAGTGTGATTGCGGTGAATAGCTCGAGTGCGAACAGTGGTAGTGGTGGAAGCGCCATAGCTGGTGTCGTTGTATCTTCCTCGGCGTTTTTCTCGAGGGGACCGGCGTGTGGCGCCATCGTCAGCGGCGGAATCGCCGCGGCTGCCGACGTCGGCTCGGCAGTCGCGTGCAACATGCGTCTCGAGGCGGATCTCTCGTTCTGCTCCGACTCGGAGGATGTTGCGAACGGTATGGTGAGCAAGACGGACATGGAACGGAAATCGGAACACGGTGACGGCTCTGAGAACGAGGATTCCAGGCAAGATGCGAAGAGTGCCGATTTATTAGCCAGTTGCGACGAGCATCGTGGATGCAGAACGAACAACGTTCTCGCGGAATTATCGAAAACGAAAACTGGGAAAATCGACACGGAAATGGCGCGTAACAGAGCGCTAAGCGACGAAGGGGAAAGCGACAGCTCGGAGGAGCTGCAATACGGGCCTGGAATCGTGAACAAATTGAAGAGCAAGTATCTTAACCTCACTCTCAGGGAAATGAACAAGAGTCGCGTTACGGTGCAACGTTTTCGACGCGCGGCTAGTCTGGAGGATCTGTTGGACTGTGACGACGAGCCTGGCGAGAAGAACGTGAGAAAGTACACGAAAAGGGCGACAACCGGTGCAACGGCGAAAACAGACAGGTATAGAAATGCTTGCCGCGGTAACGAATCGATGAAACGGGCTCGTAGCGTGGAGACTTTAATGAGGTACAATGGCACCGACGAGGTAGGTAGTACACATGGTGTATCCGGACGTGTAGCGGCGAACGGTTTGAAGCACGAACCGGTGAACGATCATATTATACTGATAGACAGGACCACGGTGAAGATAGAAAGTCGTTTGGGCGAGTTGGACAGGCCGAAACCGGTGAACAAACCGAAGAGAATCAAACCGTTGCTGGCGGAGACGGAGAGACCGCCTCCGGATCTAGTCAAGACCACCATGAGGATCTTCGAAGGGTCCGCGAAGAAGCTGAAGCCGAAAGGCGAGGTTGCTGCCAAGGTGGCGACCTTCAAAACCATCAACGACACGTTCAAGGCTCAAGCACAGAAGAAGGTTGCCCCGAAGCCGCCTATTCAACCTAAACCGTTCGTAAACGGGAATTCCAGGGCTCCCGGTTCTCCGAAGAAAATCGTGCTGCCGCAGAAACCAACGGCCGAGCTGATCGAGACGCAGGACGGCCAAGAGGAGTATCACATAGACGGGGTAATCACCGATCCTATAGTGCAGTCGGTGTCGTCTGTGGTCAGCAAGTTCCAGCAAATCGAAAAATCGCACTCTCCTTCCCCATCGCCCGAACCATCCTTCTCTCTCCGAACAAAATTCTCCCCGGCGGCCAGTCCCGAGCCCCAATTAAGTAAATTGAAATCTTCCCTGGAGATCAGCATCAAGTCTCCACCCGTAACGCCTATTCTTTCCCCCAGAATTTCCTCACCCAGACTGCAGAGCCCTTCGTCACCGATGAAGGACACGCTCAGGCAGAGCTCGCCACGGGTTCAGAGCCCTTCGTCCCCGATGAAGGATCTGCACAGACAGAATTCCAGTCCCGTCCACAAACCTCCGCCGAGTCCCAGCAGGGAGCTCTTGAGACAAATGTCTATGCCCGAAGAACAACAGCAGCCCGCGGAGAGGATACAGAGTCCCACGGAACGAGAGATACCGGAGGAAACCAAGTTGTCGCCGATTGACAATGTCGTACCCAGCGACGAGGAGCTCGTCGAGGAGCTCGCCGAGGAGATCGACGCGCCGAAAACGATCTCGAAAGCTGCGTTGGAGAATATCGCGAGAACGGGTGTCACGATGCAGTTCAGCTTCAACGACAAACCGACAGTGAACAAGAGCTACCTGCCTGGATTCAAGCAGAACGGTCAGAAAGCTTTGGACGAGCTTCAAGTGGATACTCGATGCGAGTCGAACACCTTGTCGACGGAATCCAGGGGCAAGTCGTTTTTGCCCGCAGCTTCCGTGAACGCTGTGAACGTTGTGACGGATCTGGAGGCGGTATCCAGACTGCAGGAGAGGCTAGAGCCGGACAACAAGTGCGAGAGGAAGAGCGAGGACGGTAAGGAGGATTCGGATGTAAAGACAAACGTGGAGAGCAAGCCTGTCGGTGCTATCTGCAGTCTAGGCTTGATCAAGTCGACGACGACCACCTCGTATCCACAGGGGAACGATTCGAAGACAATAAGATGCCAGAAGACAGAGTCACCGCCTCAGAAACAGATAGGAATAATAAGACCGCTTGTCTCCACGAAGACGCAGAATCCTCAGCAGAATCTGAGCAACAGGGAGTTGGAGAAGAATCTGATCAACCGAGTGAAGAGCATAGAACAACCTACCAAAGTGGTAGTTAGCCTGAAGAGTTCGGCTGACGAGATTCAACCTGCGAAGAAGGCCAGCTCGGGAGGAGCTGGGCTTTGGGAAACGAAGCCTTGGAACCAACAGAACAACACCATGGTGTTCAATTTCAGTAACCGGAAGGACGTGCCCGATTACATCGAGAACGACGGTCTGATCATCAAGAAGAAACGAGAGAAACCAAAGGTGAGTCATCGACTGCTTATCGTATCGACGTTTTCTATACTGGACGTATTCCTCTTATCACGCGCTACAAGCTGAACCGTATTTTCAGTTGTACTATAACTACCAATCTAATCTTCCAGCAGGTGTGTACTTCCTCCAATGTACTGTCTGCAAGTTCCATATCTTGCCGCTCTAGAATACGCAAAAATGATACGTTCCAACGGTGGCGAAAATGGCTTGGTTAATTTCGAAGCAGTTACGATCGAGCTCGATTCGTGATTAGATTGCGAGAAGCACCGATACGGTTCAATGGTAACCTGTCACGGACCACTTTCTTTTCGTACGTGTATGATCGAAGGCATTTCACTTTCCTTAATATATCGTATATCGCATCGGACAAAAGCGTGGTCGGGGCGTACGTGCTCCCGCAGCGCGGCGCGCCGTCGTGTATGCAGAATTTCAAGTGACGTCTGGGCATTCGTGGCACGCGGTCACATTTAAACGCCGCGGCGTGTACAACGACATTTATTTGTTTGTCCATTCGAGCCTCGAGGGGCAGTCAGAATGTCGCTTGTTCAACTCGTCGTAAACTTGTTTCACAGCTGATGTCGTGTCGAAACGGTAACGCGACCCCTAGATACCAAATGCCTACTCGTGTTTGATCGTAATCCAACACACCTGGGGCTTGGACGATTCATCAGCCGAATTTTCCTTAGTCGAAACTCCGGGCGCCGGCGATGCAACGGAGCGAGACCGAGGAAAATAAAGAAAATTAAGATCGCGATCCGTAAATTGAAGGTGGCTTGGACTGACTTTCTCGTATTAGATAACCCGGAAGCCTGATCGAATACGGATCACTCGGTAATTTCTTACGGAGGTCCCTCTCTGCTGCATAATTTGCCAAACGATTCTCGCGTGTTAATCTACTTCTCTCTCTCTCTCTCTCTCTCTCCTACCGAGGATTTCTCGTTGCTGGATTCTAGTGTACAATCGTCAAACAAGATCCTCGCTGCTTTATCTAATGGTCGTAACGGGGTTTCCACGAATCGACCGCTGGAAAGGAAAGAACAGTGGCTCTGTCTCGATATAAAGGAGGACCGTTTAACGAACCGGAAACTGGAGCGTGCATCGAGATCGTGTAATCCTCGAATTGCACGGAACACCGTGTATATGTGTGTGTGTGTGTTTGCACAGAGAACCTCTTGGAGCGTTTTACCTCGATCTAGGCAACGGCACTCCTCGTGACACTTTTCTATCTCGTGTTCGATCGAGGCTCGATCGTCCTTCGATCTCGACTGAAAGGCCTCCCGGAATCGTGAAGGCGCGTTCTTTCGCGTACCGTGTACAGTCGATCGAGGAAGTATAGCGACGTCGTAAGATCGATCAAGCGTTAAACTTTTCAACAATTTTCGAGAAACCTAGAAAATGCTACGTATTTAATATTTCTTCCATCGACTGTACGTAGACTTACTATTTTCGTTAGTATTTTCCAATGGATTAAGACGCAAGCAAAAGCTGTAACGTCAGAATCGTTTGAGGAAGCCCTAGCTCAACCCCGAGACAATTAGATTAGTGTCTAAGGACGAAACCGGCGATGAAATCAGCCGCTTAACACCTACGCGATCCTCAGTTTACGTTGGTTGCATAGCTACACCTCTCTCTAGAGACGATTTTTCTCGCCGTGATTGGTATACGGTTACATTTAGCAGTCGAGCCTCTTGTAAAGATAAAATTTCGCGCGACCTGCGTAATTCGATTGATGACATGTCGCTGGTATCGGATTGCTTGTCTCGTAACGTTAACCTCGCCGTTGTGCGTGGTGACGCGCGTTCCGCAGTTGCTGGCCGCCGTTGTAACCTTCTCTCCTCGGAGGATAATTAAACGGAGATTAAGCAGCCTTAGATCGCGCGATAGAGAACGTTGCCGCACGGACATCCACGCTTCTCGCGTTACGAAATTGAATTAAAACGGGTGCCGTTGAATCACGTTAATCGATTGATATTAACGTTGCTCAAGTTTTTTTCTTTCTTTTTCGCCTGTGGCTAGACGCGTATAGTTTGTCCAAGAGACGTAGGAGAAGAACTGGTACGGTGTTTCGATAGTTGCCGAGACGAGGGAAGATCGTATCGTGTGCAACACTCTGTCGCGTTAATTAACCTTCGACGACCTCGTGATAATTACGCAATCCGGAGCGTTGCACCCGGACAACGCGTACGTCACGACCGATTATCACGGACTTTGTAATTGAACGTAATAAACTGTAGATAGGTAGATTTACGCACATCTCTGTATTACACAGGGATCTGTGATTGTAACAAGGTAAAAGGCTCCCTTCACCGTGTGATGCACTCGCGGAATTAGGTCGTGGAACGATTCTCCGCACAGAACGCTGTCTTCTAGTTTGTTTGTTTTTTTTTTTATTTTTCGAAGAACCAGAGAAAACACGACCAATCTGACGAATATTCCGATCGAAACTCGACCTCGTGCGATAGATAGAACAGTCGGAAGATGCACATCGGTGCTCTTACGCGCGTTTTCTTCCTTCTCCTCGGTCATCGGCGTCTCTCCGGAGAGACGCATAATAGGGATTAGAAGCGCGCGGGAGATAATTAAAAAAGGAGGAAAAGAGGAAAACGAAATAGAGAATTCCAGAGACTACCCTCGTGGAATTCGTGGAGGTAGCCGACTGAAACGACGCGCGTTTCGTAATACAGCCGGAAAGAAATTAATTGCAGGACGAAGCGTTACCAACTCTTCGTATTACGTTCGAAAGTGTAGGATGCGTACATATACGTAACTGAAGTTATTAAATTGTTTTACGAAAAGAAAAGAACCGCGATAAGCTTCATCTTCGATAAGAAAAGAGAAACAAAGTCTGCTAATAAACGCGATAACAATCGTATCTTCCCGCGAGGACGGGAAACGAGATAAGCTCGTAAATATTTTCAATTTTTGTACGCTTCGAAAAGAGGAACCGTGCTTTCTGAATCCGCTAACGGTGAAAAAAAAAAAGAAACAAAAATTTCTTTCACAATCTTCCGAAAGTTTATCCCCCTTGGTGAAAGCAGAAATTACGTGGCGTCTCTTTCTCTCTCTCTTTCTCTCTCTCTCTACCTTCTGGTGCTCTGTCTTAATTGTCGAGCCGAAGCTACGGCGGAAATAAAGAATTCCGCGTTATCTCGCGAGACCTCGTTGCGAAGCATCGAAACTTACGTTGGCCAGATGGATGTAATTGTTCAGGAACGTTAACTCGTAAAGTAAACTCGTTTCTGCCAGGACTAGTTAGGCTCGTTTCCCTCACGGTTATTATTATTGCGTTACAATGGCTGCCCGATATCTGCGCTTTGTCGCGGTAAACGTGCGATTAGCAGGCATTCGTCGTACTCATACAAGGACGTAAAAACCGGAAGGGAGGCATAACCGATGGTTATGCGCTATTACGTAAGCGTTCAACGCGTTTCTTCGCTTTCTGTATTATTACTGTTATCACAATCTCTCTCTCTCTCTTTCTCTCTCTTTCTACGTGGTGAATTCCTGACAGACTGATGTAACACCGGATATGTAACTGTCAGAAAGGAAAATCGACCGTAGCTTTCCTTTCTCTTTACTTGAAAACACCGAGGCTTTTATCGGATTCTACAGGTTTAAAAGAGAAGCTTCCCGTCTTAGGCGAAGGAAGGTTCTTTTTAGCGGAAGTCCTACAAGCGCGGTAACTTGTTTCACGGCCAATCGAGGCTTGATACATTCGTCTGGGTATGTCGAACATCGTGTCTAACAGTTATCGTTAGCCGAGGAGAGATAAACACGCGACAACCACGGTCCTTGTATAAATACATAAGTACATTTATCCTCCTTGGTAGTCAGCCTGTTTAGGGTATGCCACGATGAGTCACTGAGCTGTTTATCGATCGGTAATTAAGAACAAACAGGACAGCTCCCCGATATTGGATATCGTCGATGCGTCACACGCTTTTTTATCGACGTTGTATATTTTTCCTAGCTTCCTTCGCGATAAGATACTTCTAACGGCTTCCAACCGAGACTTTGAACATTTTGCAAATTCACTCTCTCTCTCTTTCTCTCTCTTTCTTCAGAGAGAAAGGTCCATGTGTCGTTCGAAGAGCCACTGTTCCCCGGCTTTACCGTATTGCACAGACGATAATCGAGTTTGCGCCTGGAGAAGGTATCCTTGACCTTGTTTCGTTCGTTAACTATTTTTCCGTCAAGGTTTGTTTTTTATTCGATTTTATTCGAGTAATTTAGCTCGATTATTTTAGCGGTACCGGGGTCCTGGACTGTGAAAACTCAGGAGACGCAGTTATGTCGGGGCGATGGAGATGTCTCGTTCTCTGTCGGACGGCAAGAAACGAATTCTCGGTTCTCGACGATTGGCTGGCGGTCACGGGAGGTCGTGATGGCCACCGCGAGAAATTGCCAGGCAGAAGTTAGAGATAGCCGATCAGGCTGAGAACAAGCTGGTGGCCAGTGACATTCCATAAGACGCCATGGGAATTCTCGTATATGGCCGTCCTAGTGCGACGACGTTACCACCGCGAGAGAGAAGCTGCTGCTGGCTGTTGCCTCCTAGGTCCGTTATCGTGTTTCAGACTCGCTCCTTAGGCCAGCCATCTAAGGAGCATTGCGCTCCTAACGATCGTGTCGCAACTGAATCGACCGCTACGATTTTTGGTATGTAGGCCGCAGCGACAATAGCTTCTCCTTTCTTCTTCGCTGTTACATACCAGCCTCGAACAATGGCAAGAAATTGGCGGTATCGGAAATTCGATCGGCGAGTTGTACGCCGAGTTTGGTCATTCCACTTGGTCTCGAGGATTCCATCGATCCATCATCGATCGACGTGCTCTGTAATTTTCGACACGTGCTCTTCGCGCGTTCACAACGCTTTCCAGAACGAGTAAGAGAACCGGTTCGCGAGAGACACGATCGATGCAACACACACGTTCACTTTGTTCGGTGTTATCGTTTCGTTAATCCCGATGATCGGTAATAATTACTCGGTACGAACGTTATTATTACCCGAACGGATACTAAAACCCGTTAAACGGACTGGTAACTTTGATAATCTGTAGAAGGATGTGCAGACTTTTCGGTGTTACTGCGAAGAAACGGTTTCTCTCGTGACTTATTAGAAGTTCGTTTGGCAAGGTTTTGAACGCGATCATGGGAGAATTAACGAGGCGACGTTAATGAACTTTTCTCTACTTGCTGGCACGGCTCGAATTGACCAGCTGGTGCATTCCTTAACCCCATTACCGTTTCACGTTTTTACCTCGGCGACACGCGGCAGTAAATAAGCCGCGATGCCACGAGTACACAGCCACCTTCCTTTCGATTCGACAAATTTATAGGTTGTCCGGTTCAACCTCCAAGTCGTAGAAATCAATTGGTCGAATTGTATCCGCTCGATTATTTATTTCTCTGATAGAAAACGTGCCTCTTCCGTTCCACTTTGGTGCACTTTGGAAAAGAAATTTTTCGAAACGCGTAATCAAGGTTGATTCCAGGGGAAACTCGATTTCAGCTGGTCGTAGGTCGAATTTGCATTTGCATGCGAGGCTCGTAAAATCGGTCAGACGTCAGAGTTTACACGTTCGAGGATATCGACAAGCTGATCGAGCAGAATTCGGAGACTCGCTGTATTTCTTCCACTCCTCCAGATCGGGATAAAGATGTTGGCCTTGTGAAAACCCGATAGATATCACGATTTTCTTGTCACTCAGTCGTAAATACCGGCGATTAAAGTAATATTACCGGGCTTTCCATCACTTTCGGTGACTTTAAGGCCTCTTGGCCAACGTTAGAAACAGGGAGACCCCGTGGATCGGCGTTATACGAGTCTGTTAATTGCTCTCCAGACCGTGAAACGCCTAAAATACTAAAATAGCCAAACGTGTAGATGGAAATTGCGGGAAGGTTGTCAACGAGCTAGCATCACGGATTAATCTGGACATTCTATGAATCACTTTACCGCGTCGACGGGACTCGAATTTAGAAACGCGTCGCCGCTTCGTCGTCGTCTGCGACTCATATCGCCTCTTTACTCTTTAACTCGGTGAAAAGGGCAGAGTTACGATTTTTCCTCGAGACAGCGCCGAAACCACGGCTGATTCATACGATTTAGCGGTGTGACTAAACGCGGCGAATAAATTCGCCCGAGTCCGCGAATAGACGCAGAACAAAACACGGGCGTGGCGGCCACTCTCTTGGCTCGCTTGCATAATTTTCTCTGTCCACGTCCCACGGGACGCTGAGCTTGTTCAAATTGATGGTTGTTTGAGGAAAACGACGACGAGGGTAGAACAAAAGGGAGAAAGTTTCCGCTTTGAGGCAGTCTGTATCGAAGATAAAATCAGTTTCGCGGCTGTCTCGAGCTTATTGTCCCGAGGAACCGAGTTTTCGCGAGGGCGTCCCTCTTGGATAGTCGGCGAAAGAAGAAGATGTTTCTTTTTTCGGGGGCAATCGTGTAATTCCGGTCAGAAAATTGGAACGAGCCCACGCTCGTCTAATCAGGAACGTTGAATCTCCACGTAGATGTTGCGAACTTTGTGAAACGTGCATCCGGTCGCACGTGTCATCGCTGATGACGACATATCGACGATAGCATTGGCGACTTTCCACGTGAGAGAGTATCATTTTCTTCTTTTTCTCTCTCTCTACCGTAATTTATCTTCGTGCGGAATTTCTCAAGAATCCGCGAAATAACCGGAGAAAGCTCCGGCTCGTTTTTCATGGAAAAGAGTTTGCATGTGGTATCGCGATAAGTGGCTGATTTAACGAAGTCATTGCTAATAAGTAGGAATTAACATGCTTTTAATCGTTCCCGTGTAATCTCGTAGAAGGTTATAATTTCATATGTAGATTGTTATATTGTTCGTGGCAGATTGCTAAACTCGTTATTTAGAGAGCAAGAGCGTGTAACGGGTGGCAGGCTGACCGCTGGGAAACCACCTCGTTAAACGCCAGAAACGATTCATGGAAAGAACTATCCATCTTTTCTTTTGCCAAACGTCGTGTCACACTCGCTGATTGTATATTATTTCTCGAGCTAGAATTAAAGCCTTTGAAATCTAGAAGACTCTTGATGCTATGTTAGCTTTACGAGGCACCCTCGACATCCGGTCTCTCCGCCTTTTTCGACTCGGCTCACGTCTAGTTTGAAGAAGAGGGGAAAGGGCATGCGGGCTCACACCTTGGCGAACGCAGGTGTATTCGTTCGCGTGCAATCGTTACCGGTGACTGTCGTGGACTGTTCGAGGGTTCAAGGACCAAAGCTGCAACAGTGATACCCAAGTACCTACGCTTGGAATAATGGAAAGAAACGTCCTGGGAGTTTCTCATGAAGTCAGGGACCTCGTCCTTAGGTTCAATGCCGTGTTCCTTTCTTCGCCTATCTTCGCGTTTGTCGCTTCCCTTAAATCGCATCAAACCCTACTCGCAATTACTTACGAAGAATGGTATCGAGTGATTCTTACAGCGATAAAGTAACTTTTGCACCGGACACCGGATTAGGGCACCGGCGCACGGTCTTTCAAACAGCAGATACTTCGAATTATAAATCGTTCGTTTGAGCTGTCTGTGTCACTCGAGCTCGTAGATTCAAGGTGCTGCCAGAGTATACCTACACCGTCGTCCATAAGTATCGGGATAGAAAGTATTTCAAGCTTCTTCGCCAAAGTTAGTGTCGTACATCGGTAAAAATATGCGAAATCGTTTTTCTGCGAGATTCGAGACTGAATGATTTTTCAAGTAATTTCGTAAGGAGTGTTTAGATCTGTTTCACGTTCACCAAGTGTGTACTCGCAATCGCTGCCTCTATTTACGACAGCGAGCTCGCTCGAGTTAATTTCAAGTTGTCCAAGCTAATCCGCCTACCTGCGTTGGACGCGTTCCGCGAGATTACGCGCGGTAAACGCACGATTTTTTCTCACGATGGGTTATCGCGTGGAGATCGCTTGCATAATATACTCCCGCCGCAACAAAAGAGATACTAAACCGCGCAACGTGGTTAAACCGGAAATATCGATTTACTTTCTTCTCACGCCTCGGGTCGATAGAATCTCCAAAATGTAGCACCTACATGTGTAAAACGTTTTCCGCGATGAAAATGTCGCTGTGTCTTCCGAAACAGCGTGATCGATATCTTCTCGTTTCAGTGCACCCGTGGCACGTTATATTCAAATCCAGATATTGCGTTACGCGGCCCCGATCTCTGCTCGTCCGTAATGCGGCTTCGCGTTATGATCCGTGACCGCATTTTTCCTTAGATCCCCCCTCGTTCGCAACTCGAATTCTCTTCTCGAGGCAGAAGAGAGAATGACAAAGACGAGAGAGAGAGAGACGAAGATGGCAGTTAATGGAATGAAATCGTCGTTAAACCAGAGAAGAATCACTTTCGAGAAACCTTGGACGGCAGGACAATGTCGACGCCGGAAGTGGACCGGAAATCAGGCGACCGTTCGATTTCACGTGCGATTATTCGCAGCCAGGAGAAATTGCCTCTGCGTTTGTCGCTCGACTCGCATCCTTTCAATTTATCCAACCCATCGATCACGCACTGTCAGCCGCGGGATTTTTGTCACGCGTCCAACACACTCGATTAAACGTTTTATCGATCCAGATACGAGTTGAACTTGTAACTCTGGATAGAACGTAGATAAGGAACGAACACACGCGGGAGGGAATCCAGTCGAAGGACAGGTTTGGAGTGCGTGTCACAGACACGTTCGTGTCGCTTTTTTCTTTTTTTTTCACTCCGTTTCCAAATCGACAGGATGTCCATTCACGAAATAATTGAAAGGCGGCGGATGTCGATGAATAAAACGCTTGGTCGACACGCGTGTGTCTATCCATCCTTCGTGTCGTTGCATACGGCATTGAGAATCGAGAGAGAGAAAAAAGGGAGTCGCGTCGAGAAAGCCTGTATATACGTGACGATTATCTCGAATCGTGCGTGAAGATCTCTCTCTCTCTCTCTCTCGATTGTGTCCTATCGGATAAGAATCTCTGTTCCAGCGGAGAGTCTCGACGCGCGTTGTTCGTCTCGCTCTCGATTCTCTCTCTCTCCGTGGAAATTACGTCGCGGCGAGCACGTGGGCGCGTTTCACGCGCGAATATGCACGTGAAATCCTCTTTGGCCGTAAGAAGCTCTCTAGGGAGTCTGCTTTGGACAGGTTTCGCGTCAACGAACGTGAAAGGTATTTCGTTGGAAAATCGATGTTTATGACGGGGGAGGAATTTTTATTTCTTCCAGTATCGAGTAACGGCGGCGGCGATAACGATAATAATAATGATAATCGAGAGGAGAGGAATGCTGTACGGTCGTGAGTTTCCTTGGAACTCGGTCGAGCAGACTCGAAAGTCACCTCGCCGGATTCCACGAGTAACGCGTTCCGATTTCGAGAGCTGACGTCTTCTTTTTTCCTTTTTGGTGGGTCCACAGGTCGGTGACGGTGGCATCATAGTGTTGGACGCGACTTTGGACGCTTCGACGACCGACGACGCGGAATGGGAGCTGGCTGGTGGTCCACCCTCGCCCTGTGACGTGTCATTCTTCAACGACAACGTTCTTATCAATGGACGAAGCAATCTCTCCAAGACACCGCGAAATCACAAGGTGAATCAACACTATCTGTTACTTTTTTCACAATTTCTTAAGCAGGAATAACGTAAGCCTAGGTAGAAAAGCAACTCGGGACAATGTCGCGTTCCTTTTGTAATCTTCGATGGAAAAATTCACGGTGCAGAAAAGGCTCGAGGATAAAACGTGGAGAAAAATGGATCTAGTACGTTCGATAACGCGGAAAATGTGTGAAAAGTCGACCTAAAGATAATCACGCTATCTAATCTAATCAGGCTGCAGCTCCGGGATTGCGCCGCGGGAGCTCATTTAAGTCGAAAAGCAAGCGACGTAACGCTTTAACCAAGGCCCTAGCCTCGCCGTGGGAATGCGCTTTCCCTTGTGAAAGAGATTGTAAAATATTCAAGGGCGAGCTGCAGCCAACCTTTCAGCTTCTCTTCCCTCCCTCCTTTCCTGTCCTTTCATACCAAATTTTCGGTGCACTTTTTATCCCCGTGATGAAAGGAAACGTCTTAAAACCGTGTTATCCCTCTTGGTTTCAACGTGAACTAAGATAATCCCTATTGTTTAGGGAGGATCTGGATCGAAGGGTTCACAGTTCAGTTCTTGAAGACAGAAGTCTCGTATAGAGTAGTAGAAAGTGATGTTAACTCTTTGGTCCTACCGATCGAAATTACCTTTTGGTAGCGCACACTCGGTTCATTATTGCCCAAAAACGTTTAGAGCGTTTAGAAGGTAGAAGCGCCTTGAATATCCCGGAGTTGGACCGTATTCTGTCACTCTTAGACCGTTTGCTTCGCTGTTGTTTCCTATCGGTCGAACGACAGGACGGGATAGGTGTAACAACCGTGTAGGTTATCATCGTGATAAGAGTTATCTGTCAGAAGTCTCGTATAGAGTAGTAGAAAGTGATGTTAACTCTTTGGTCCTACCGATCGAAATTACTTTTTGGTAGCGCACACTCGGTTCATTATTGCTCAAAAACGTTTAGAGCGTTTAGAAGGTAGAAGCGCCTTGAATATCCCGGAGTTGGACCGCAAAGAGTTGCACCGTATTCTGTCACTCTTAGACCGTTTGCTTCGCTGTTGTTTTCTATCGGTCGAACGACAGGACGGGATAGGTGTAACAACCGTGTAGGTTATCATCGTGATAAGAGTTATCTGTCCTGTACACTGATTCGCGGTGTAGTTCTGCCAACTCATCTTTCACTCCGTACAATTATCGTTTCCGTTTCACAGTGTCATTCTTCAAATTGAACGTGTCCGACGACGTTCGTCCGAGACAAAGTATTCGAAAAGTTTCTTCGCTTCGCGATAACATCTTTCCGAGAATACCCGAGGTTTTTATATCGAAAAGAAGGTTCAACGAACCGTCGTTGGTTGGACAGTTTCGACGAAAACTCGCGGTATTAACGAGTTTCGGTAGAACAGGTATCCCCGATGCCCCGAGGCTCGTTTCAACCATAGCTCGAAAGCGGATTAAACGATATACTCTCTTTTCGAACTGTAGATAATCGTTCTAAATAATTAATGTGCTATAACATTGTACCGGCGCGTCATTAATTTTCACGGTCCGACTTCTCCCGGCGAGACGTCGTTAGAGATGAAATTATGTACTCTGTGAACAATATCGAACGATCGATTCGTCTTTGCCGCGCTAATCGAGCGTGACCGTGTCACTTTTGCCGATCGGTGACCGAACTCCACCGAAATAGATTCGCGTGATCGTAACTGCAAGCTCGACTCTTTGCGCGGTATTAAAGAAAAGATTTTTGAACGAAAAAGATTCTGCAAAATTGAAGTCTGAACAGCAGGTGAAAGGGTTAAAAAATGGACAGATCGAAAGCAGGCGAGGAAAACGACGGGCATAAAGTTGAAAGAGCGAGCCGCTCCGGTCTCGATAATTATCCTCGTTCAAGAGATCGAAAACGTTTCGTCGAGCGACTTTCTCACGGGCTGCGAGCTTACGCGGATCCCCGTGACGAGACTCACCTGTTACCGGTTGCGATCTGCAAAGTAAAAGTAGCCGCGGCGACGCACGAACCGGCAACGATTTTCGTAGTCAGCTCGTCGGAGGAGTTAATCTACCGTGTTTCATGGGAACGCGGCAAAACACGCGCGATTCCGTTCCGCACTTAAACGGAGAAACGATATCTTTCTCTGGACGCGAGGGAAAAACCGCGCGGCACACGCGCCTCTTCCGGGTTTAGGCGAGCAAATGTCAAAGGTGAACCGACCACGATTTTTCTTCGTTCTTTCACTTCTTTATTTTATTACCCGACGAGTGTCCAACTTGAAGCGCCGAACGTTCCGAAAGTGAACGTTTAAGGTAGACGCTGTATTCTCCTGTCTCTCGTTGGCTACGAGTGAAGTAAGATGGATATTGTTACTTGCATTTCGCCGGATTGTGTTAGGCACCGAGGCGAAAGGGGTTAACGAGCTAATCGAAGGAGAAGTAATGGGTGTGATTTCGTGGAAATTGCGCGTTGCGCAAGGATAACGCAGGCCTCAATAATGACGCGCTTACTCCCGATTTATCCGCTAACAGATAATTCGATTTCGCAAAGATCCTCCGGTTAAATCCGTTGTTTGTTTCAATTTCGGTATCCAATTAGCCCGTGCACCAGCTCTAACCTTTAATAACAGCGTTGCGTAAGGCGGCGATATGAAAAATCAAAACCGGTAAAAGGTGGAATTTGCATATTCGAAAGTTCTTCCCCGCGTAACAGTGGGGGATAATAATTCCGGAGAAAACGACGTTAGAATATTTTTGGTCGTAAAAGTGGCCGGTCGTCACGCTTATTGTCTCATTGGCGATCGATCTGGAGAATATGGCGATATCTCCAGCTGAATCGATTGTTCGCCGATGCGTCGTATTTTCTTCGGATTTACTCTCCGGCGTCCAGCAAGCGTATCGGATCGATAGAAACGCTGGCTCGCTCGGCTATTATACGACTTGGAATTCCACGGGCTGTGCGAGTTATCGTCGAATAATTCTCTCGTTGGATAGAAAATGCGGGCGTTGTTCCTTTGCTCGACGAGGCGTGTGTCGATTCCTCGAACGTTCATCCTTACTAATTCTCCGGCGAGTCTGCATAGAGAATCACGCGAATTCGTTTTCCTCGAGATTCCATCTGACCAGTCGGGAATCTTCCAAGTGTGCAATTTCAAAAATCGCTCAACTTGTTGGTAATATTCTCGTAGATGAGAAGGTTTTGCTTTTTAACCCTTCGCGGTCCGAATAGTTCAGTCAGTCCGCGATCGTTTGGCCAGTGTGTCGCAGTGCCGTGTAGTTTGCCTTCGTTTCGATATTTCACCGCGATACCAGTCACAAAATATTAACATTCGGTGCAATATTGACGCGTTAACCCTTATGTCGCTAACCAGAATTGCCGTCTACTTTATCGACCAATTCTAGTAGTTTTCCGATAAGAGAATTGTAAACTTGAGGCAAACACGGATAGGAAATGTGCGAAATAACACCTGGAAGATGAAAGATTTTAAGTGAGAATTATGCAAAAGAGTACCCGGTTATTGTACAATTTATAATTTATCGTTCTGCGATATCTGAAGGCAGAAAGCTCGAGTCCGACTCGACGTAGGACAGCAAAGGGTTGAGAAGAGCGATTTTTCAAAGGTGGGTAAGGTTTCACAGTTAGCTCGGCTTAAATACCATTACCTTAAAACGGCGCTGACCGAAAGCAAAGCTGCGTACACGGACCGTCTAGCCATAAAAGTAAGTATCGCGTAAAGTTTATCTTGGCGACGCGGAAAGCGTTTGTACCAGCTTAGAAACGTCGGTTCTACGCTATATTTTCATTTTATCGAAGGTAGAAGGAATTCTAACGGTGAAAAATTGCACGGTAGAAACGTGTGCGCTGGTCTTAAGATGTCGCGTTGCTCAACCCGTTTGCATCCCGTCTTGGAAAAAGTACGAAAACTTGCCTAATACCCCCTCGCGTTGCCCAACGCGTTTCAAGCTTTTTACGTCTCCTCCGCGAATTCTCTCGCGTGTAATGGCCATTCCGTCGTTTGGAAATCGGTCTAAATGCTACGGGAACACACCGCCTGGCTGTTTTTCTCCAAATTTGTACCCAGTTTATTCGAGGAACGTCGATTTTCCGTGGAGAGAACGACGAGAGAACGGCAGGTGAGACAGCGTTCGCAACGCGGGAAGAGAATTGGCCGGTGAAAAACTGCCGCGACGGAAAGAAGAGAGGCCACTTTCCACCTGGGAAATTGCCCTCCTCCGGTCACTCTGCCTGCAGATAATTCCTTCTTTACGATCTTGCGATTTCACCTGGCGAACAATCGGTTTTATCGCCGATACCGGTCCCCTCTCTCTCCCTCCTACTGCACTCGCTGGACAATACACCTCACGTGCCTTCGCTCGACGTACACGCGCGTGTACAGAAAGGCTCTCGATAGGGCAATAGAGGAACAAAGAGGATTTCGCTCGTGCGAAATTCCCTGACCCTGTTCCCTGGTCGAATATTTCACCAAGCTGCAAAATTTCTCTCCTGAAATCGAAGACGCGCGCGCGAACAATAACGCACCACGCTCGCGGGAATAGGATTTTCTTCTTCTTGTAACACGGTGAAACGTAAACATCGTAAGATTCGACGTACACTTGACAACTATTTCTTCCATTTTCCTCTCTCTCTCTGGAATTGATTCGAAAGAATACGAAAGTTTCTTTGCAGTAGGACAATAGAAATTTGCAGAACAAAGTTGCACAGAATAAAGGACAACGATAGAGTTGGCAAATATTTGAGCAACAGTGTACACGAGAACGTAAGGCGTCCATGATCTATAAGAGGAATCTGAATGTTGACAATAGGTATTATCGAGTGCTAGATCAAATCTAATGCAACGTCGGAACTGAAATTACACGAAGAACGAACTTGTACATTTCTACGAGAAAACAGACGCGAAGCTGGACGAAGGGAATTTAAAGGTCCGCGAACTGTTTTTTAAAAGTGACGTTTCTAACGAACGGAGAAGTACTACGTCGAATTTGAATAGGGTACCGTGTTTCAATCGAATCGATCGACGACTCGTTAATTAGCCGATCGGTTGAATAGGGGACGGTCGAGGCTCGGTTTCTAATCGAGTGGCAAAGCGGTTCCGTGATCGTCGCTCACGGTCCTTTTATTAATAGCGATCGGTGAAAGGTAATGAGCGGTGTGAAGCCATTACGAGAGACGTTACGCGTGCAACATCTGATAATGCGAATAATCGCGACGCGTGTACTCGCTCGTGCTTCAAGGCTGCGGTCTTTGTATCTCGCGACAACGGCCGTTCGCCACCGACTATCCATCTTTCCCGCATGAAATCCTCACCTCTGGCAAATTCACCTGGACAGCTGCCGATCTTCTTCTCTCTCTTTTTCTTCGCCAAGGCTTAGGAAATGTATTCGACACGCCTCGATAATCATCGGCGCTCCTTATATCTACTTAAAGGTGTTTAAATTCCATTTGAAATTTCACCGATAAGATCTCGCTTATCGGGGCGACTATCGGGTTCGCAGACTCGTTGTATACAGTAGCGGAGAAGAAACTAATAAAACGTCTGTTTCTTCTGGGCAAACAGAAGAAACAAAGGTCGAGCAATTACAACCGCGAAATTCCTAGAAGCTACTTAACGATAACGAAGCAACAACAGGAACACGTTGCATAATTATCTGCGTGGTATCTTTAAATAACCATTGTACGCGATAAGAACGAGAGGCGCCTGTAATAACCTCTGACGCGTTTAATTCGCCGAATCGAGCGAATTCGATTTGTTGACAGTCGTCAGCGGTTTCGATCGTCCTTCGCCGTATGTAGGTCGAGAGTTTGAAATTTTACCGAACAGACTGTTACGCCATCGTCTCCGGCCAATTTCAAATGCTCCAATTGCCTTCACACCGGGAGAGCACCTTCTCTTTCAGTCAAGGTTGCCTTTTATTCGCTGATTTTGTCGTTTCATCGCGTACGATTCCACCGTGTTTCGAGTTCAAGGACTTCTTTCTCTCTTTAATCGAAATCCAACACTTGAAATTTCAAGCGAAACAAGTGCTTACTTACCCGGCTGGGTCGGTCGCGTTTAGAATCGTTTCTAGCGTAATTTTGCAGCGTTTTACGAGATGGTCGTCGACCTCGAGGTTCCGTCACCTCCGCAACAAATTGCGAAGTCGTTCCATTCCGCAGAAAATTGCCCGACCGGTAATTCTGGCTAGCGCTATTGTAACACGGTTGCGGGCGTCTCGACGCGGTCGTCGGTTGGAAAAGGAGGCGAGAAAGAAAACGTGGAAAGTCAGTGGTGTTACGGTGATAGGCCGGGCCGGGCCGGGAATCGCGGATCGTTGCTCCGGATCGAAATAGAAAAAAAATCGATTTGAAATTCTAATCGAAACTCGTCGGCGGAAAAGTCTGGCGGTTAATTGCGTTCACGGACCGTTAGTATCTTATCAAAAGGCAAGCACCACGGTGCGTTTCATCTGTTGCGTTCACCTTGGTTAACTTCGGGGAAAAAAGAATCCTTTTTTTACAAGCCATACGTAGAACGGTTGATTTTCTCAGGTGGAACTACGCGTTTCTTTCTCTGGATATCGCTGTACACCGGATACAATTAACGCGAACCTTTTAGTTGGTCGGTTCGAAGATTGTTCGAAGGTCGAGACGTTGTGTATTGAACGCGTACGATCTTACAACGGAAGAAACAGACTCTCTGTACACCGATAAATTCTAGCCGTGCTGGCTCGTAAATATCGCAAGCTCTTTTCACGGAATGTATCCTACGTGCATCGTCGTTGAATAGGTCGTTCGGCCCGTATGCAAATGAAGAAATAATGTAAACACTCGTGGTCGCGGGCAATTTGCTTCTAACCCGTGTGCCCATGTTGGAGCGATAACGGTATCCGAAAGCGATCCTGCCGATCGACACCGAATCACCGTCGAAAAATTCGATTTAATTACTCGTAATTGCACGTTCTATCCCTCGAAAACCAAGACCAAGTTGGAAAATTCTCGGAGAGACGAGATCGAAGTAAATTATTCTCCGTCTGAGCAGCGTTTCAAACTGCGTTCAAACTTACGAGCCGTTTAATCTCGTCAACGCAGAGAAGATTACAGGTTTTTTGCCGGACGTAACGGATGCTCTCGCGTCTAGTTTTTCCCTGGTGGAACAAGCTTTATGCGTCCATTTGACGCGGGTGTTCGCAAGCGGGGACCGTGAAACAGGGTGTCGCGACGATAAATTCCTCCACGCTTTTACGCGGTACACCTAACCGTAGAGAACGAGAGAGAAAGAGCGTGTGTGCGGTGGTCCAAACACGACTCCTCGACGCGGAGAAAAAGCTTCTGCGTCGCAGCTTCTCTCCCCCAGCGTGCTTCAACGGATCCGTGTTTAACTTTATGTCCCCTCGCGAGTTATCCTCGAGCGATCGGCCAGATAAAAACCAGACTGTGAGTAATATACAGCCGTGTTACGTCTTTCGAGTTTCCTCAAAGTTCTCCGCCTGGCTGTTGCACTGCAGAAACGATTCAGAATCGGCGTTGGAATTTTCGGAAAAAGAAACGGGGCGACTCGACGACCGCATTCTAAAGGCGTTACGAGGCGGCGAATGTGGCACGCAAAATGTACCGCGAATAACACGTAAAAGTCCGTTCAGCTTCCTCTTTCTATTGTCCGCCGCGATAAACGGTTTCCTTTCTCGCGGTCGCGATAACAGCCCTCGTTGTGTCCTCTTCGTCGATCCTGTTGCCAAGTGCCAACCCGTCTTGGTGACAATTTCTGTCTGTCGGATTGCGTCCGAGTTTTGGGAGGGGATTAAAAAATTTGTAAAGTTGGAGGATCGGGAGAGAGAGAAAGGAGGCGGAGATTTTTTTATCGATCGTAAAGATGCAAAGCAGAACGAAACGACGTCGTTATCGAGACTCCCGCTTGTCTCCTCTCTTAACGAGTCGAGTTGCTCGATCCGTTCGCGGAACGACCTCTTCGAGGTACCATTATTACGTCCACTTTATGAATTTCATCGAGGCACGGGTAGGAAGGAAACTGACAAACCTGGCTAAAAAAATAGCGAGGTGTAAGTAATTGGAAAAGTTTGAAAATTTAGAAGATCTAGACAGGTTCCCGGAATTTTTGCTCGTACAACGAGTTACGCTGAAAGTTTAAACGGATCCCGTGCTCACGTTTAGATTTTATGGTCGAGAAAGCAGCGGCGAGCAGGCGCGCGCGCGTCACAAAAGGTTTACTCTCTTTTGAGGGTAGTTCGGTTCACCGTTTTCTTCCTGAAAATCAATATACCGCCGACCAATGAGCGCCAGCGTCGATGGTCCCCCCCGTGCATCTCGGTTCGGGGAACGATTTGACACTCGTTGCACGCTAAACACGCTCTTACTCGCAACTTTCCATCTTGATGTTTGCCTTTGGCTAACGTTTGCGCCGATTCCGTTTATCGAAAGTGCCGTTTTCGCGCCAAGAAGAAAGCCTTTTCTCCCTGATATTTCCTTTTACCATTTACACACGCGCGGAGATTGCACACTCGTCGCACTCCTTCACCACTAGGAATCTCTATTATTTCATCGAAAGAAGCGTTATTACCGGGAGAGAAAGACCTCGATATTTTCTTTCGTACGAGTTCAACGGGTAACTCTGAAGCCGCTGTTTTACTAGCGTAAGTCGATAAATCGTTAAACTGGCTGGAAACAGGTGATTATACAATGCAACTTCTTCTGCACCCGCTGTCGATGACCCGAAACGGCTCGTAATTACCCAGCCGCCATTAATTAGCTAGGAAGTTCCGGACGTGGCTGACCTTGATCGTGCCTCCTTTCGAATGGTTCGTGGTCGAAGAATCGGTTGTAAATTCGGTCGTAAAGGGATAACAGATCGTTTCGTCTCTTCGATCTACGCGCCGAAAGAAGAATAGCTACACTCCTGAACGCTGGCAATTTATTCCAAGCCTTCTGCCATTGTCGCGCTTCTGCGGTACGAAAATCCTGATTGAGATTTATGAAACAGGAAGTTTGTAAAGTGGCACCTCGAATAAATAACCATTTCTTTCTCGAAACGATCCTGCCTCGCAGAGAAACAGCTTCGTAGCTTCGGAGAGTCAACCTCTGCTCGAAATAATCGCCGGTACTGTTACCAAGCTTGGCAAAACCAAAGAGCAAAGATTTACATGCTCCGACTCGAGGTAGAGATGCGTATTCGAAAATAAACGTAAATCGAGAAAATATTCGACTGCACTGGAGAGAAGAATTCTTTCGGATAGAGAAACGGTTCGAAAATATCGGTTCTCGAACGATGGTTCTCCAATAAGAGACGAACACGACGACGAACGAGCAAACTCTCTAGGAAAAGAATCGCTTTCTCTTTTGATCACGTTCTTCAGCAAGAAGCGGACGAGAAGGCGATGTCCTCGCTTCCCAGTCGAAAAAGCATCGAGTGTGACGGGTTACTGTTATTCCAGGCTGCATGCCGTTGTTTGTTCTTCCCGTGTCTTATTTGTACCTGCCTCTCTACACACATTTTACACGATACAACAAAAGGCATGCGTGCCTCTTTTCGTCGTATCCGCCACGTCTGGTTCACAATGGGTCGCGTGCCTCTGAACGTATTTAGCCGTTACCGAAGCCCTTTTGTCACGTCAAATCGTTCAATTTCGAACACTGAACCCGTTAAACTATTCTTGTCTCTGTGTTAAATTTACAACAATTCCTTTTCAGCATCGAATACAATTCGACGACACGGCTACCCGTACCTTCGAATATCCGAGCGAAGCGTCGATGCTGGAGGGTGAGAGCAGCGTGGACGGCGAAACTTCCGGTTCCGTCGAGCAATCATCTCCGATCAACAGTAAAACGACCTCGACCAATTCGACCACCAGCATGCCCTCCCTTCTCGGTAATTTCAATCGTTCTTTTACTTCCTACCGAAACCCTGTCGTACGTTTCTTCTCTTCGCTGTCTTCACTATGGAATCCCCTTTAAATCAACTATACTTAATCGACACACTCGCAAATCTAAAATATGTCTCGTTATTTTTGAATCTTTTACAGGAGCAACGTTCACACGCCACGTTATATCCCCCGTGAAAACCTGCAAAGAATTTCAGTTCCTCTTAAATGTGGATCCTGTGAAAGAGTCGCTGGCATAAATTAGTCCCATAGTTTCTTATTTTTTCTCTCCCTTCAAATAAAACGTCCTTTCCTTTCTTTTCCTTCTTTTTCACGCCTCTGTTAGTACTCGTTGCCCATTTACTTTTCTTTTTCTTTAAACGTGTCTCCGTTGCTCGCTGTGTGTGTTTATTGTGTGTATATTAAAAAAACCTCGTGTTATCGAGTTCGCTTAGACGGTGTAGCGTGTTGAAAGCTAGTGCTTGTTCCCCGTAGGTGGTGGTGGCCTAGCAAGTTACACTCCTAGCAAAGTGGACCTGACGTCCGAAGGGTTCGAGCTGGGCGTGACAAGGGCTGTGTCGTCCACTCCTCTGGCCACATCGATCTCCGCGACCAGCACCACCAACTCTGGACAAATGGAACACGAAGAGTTGGACTACCTGAAACCAGCTCAGGACGCCGGTGCATGGGGCTCCGAAACGACCGGCGATCTTCTCTACTGATGCGATCGAAACGAAGCATGCAGGCAAGATGTGCGCGAAGAAGCTCAAAAGCTACTCCTCGAGGAGAGCAAGGAATCCCAAGTTCCAACCTACTCAGAAGACTAATCGCAAAAGTATTTTTTTGTTTCGTTTTTTTCGTAGGCACGAAAGAAAGAGCCTTTTCTATATGGAAGCGATATCGTATTGTACTGAGAGAGAAAGAGAGAAGAGAGAAGAAAGAAGAAGCGTTTCAGAGGTATCTTCGTGAACGCTACGGAAGAAGTTGACGACGAAGAAGAAGGGCCAAGCCAGCGTGACGATTGCTCACCGTACGAATAAGCATGGAAAAACTGCTTAGATTTTTCGAGAAACGCATCACGCGACGCGTTCACGATCGGACACACGCCTTACATAGATCGCGGACGATACTTCGTTCGGGATTGAAACATGAATCAAAAGAGAGAGAACGAAGAGAGAATGGAACCGGTTCGTTTGCGAACGCGTCGAGGAGGAAGCTGAACCTTTTCTTAGATAATTAAGCGATTAAGGAAAAAAAGGATAAACAATATCATTCCAAGTATATGCATTTACTTTGTATTACTACGATAACGAAAGTGAACAAGCAAAAACAAAAAAAAAGAGACACAAAAACTGCCAAGGACACGTCAGTGCTTTTCTTTTTTCGGATAGCACTTTTTACACGGAGAGCCCGGTGATCGGTGAATCCTGCTAGGACGGACAGAGAAAGAGAATTAAAAAGGGAAAAAATAGAGCATATCACCATTTTGGAACAATTTTTACAACAAACGGAGAGAAGTCGACGATGGAACTGAACATTTTTC